AGCCAGCCCTGCTGGCTGGGGAATTCTGGGAGTTGAAGTCCACTCATCTTAAAGTGGCCAAGTTTGGACAACACTGTGTTAAGCAGACTGGATCCATACTCTTTTTCTCTTTCTGAAGCTAAAACTCGACTGAGCTGAGCAGTAATATAGCAATAATTGAGCTGAGCAATAATACAGTAGAATGGGAACATGGTATCTGGGATTGGACCATAAAACTGGGCAAATTCCGCCCTAGGATTCGACAACAAAGATTAGAGATTAGATTAGATAGAACAAGGTTGTGCAACCTTGGCAACTTTGAGATGTGAGGACTCCAACTCCCAGAATTGGAATTCTGGGAGTTGAAGTCCGCACATCTTAAAGTGGCCAAGGATGAGCAACCCTGAGATGGAAGAACGAAGGGCAAGGGTAGAGCTACCCTTTCAGGGTTTGTACCTTGGGGGTCCCTGGGGGTCCATAAGCTGCATAGGGCCTCACTATATCTGGATTTTCTTGATCTGGGGTGAGCTTCTCCTCAGTTTCTCTGGACTCAAAGGCCTGAGTGTTGTTTTCCAGCACTGTCATGAAAAAGGAAGGGAGACTTTGGTTAGAGCAGTGTTTCTCAATCTCAGCAACTTCAAGATGTGTGGACTTCAACTCTCAGAATTCATGGCTGGCTGGGGAATTCTGGGAGTTGAAGTCCACACATCTTGAAGTTGTTGAGGTTGAGAAACCCTGGGTTAGAGCAGCCTTCCCATGCCAACCCCCTTTTCCCATTTCCCAGTGTTTTTCCCTCCTCTCAGATCTTCCACTGACATTACCGTAGTAGGTTATACACCCATTTAGCACCGATTTCCCACTCTTGCAAAATGTTAAAGATGCCCTTGCAGCCAGCTTTGGGCTTTTAAAAATCCCGATTAGCTTTACACCTCCTGCAAAGTTGCGCAACGCCTGAGCAAAAGTGCAAGCGGATGAAATTGGTCGATCGGAAGCTGGAGGCTTGCACCAGTCGGAGCCCTTGAAAAAATCCCTGCGTCTTTTTCAAAAGCAGCAATCAAGCGGTTGCAAAATTCGTACCGCTGATCACGGAAGATTGCAGTGCCTGCAACTGGAGATTGAAGCTGCTTTTAAACATGGGTTTTGTTGTAAGTTGTCAGCCACAGACCTTTGTTGTTTTAAATGAGGCAGGGACGGCTGATTTTATCAAGATTACCCGGAAGTGCCGTATTCAAGTCTGCAGACCAAAGAATATGAAATTGAATACACAGTCCAAAAAAGATGGGGAAAAAAATGGCAATTTGCATGAAATCCGTATATACTAATTCAAATGTATAGATTACGGCAATTTTCTTAGAAAAAACAAAGGACAACCCTGAAAAGGGGGCAAATCTGAAACAGGTTCATAAGGATAAAACATTTTAATTGTTTAAGTTCATCACTTTGCCTTACAAAGGAAAATTCAAGAACAAAACCAAGGAAAGCTTTACAAAAATGCATATTCTAATAAAAATATCTAAAATCAAACAATGCATGTAAATTGACTTTAAAAAAACAATCGATTTCCTTATTTTTCACATAATGTGAGAGACTGTGCATTAAGGGGTAGCATTTGTACCGAAAAAGTTAAATGACCGAAATAAAGGGCCGAAGTGAGTTTTTGAAAAATAAATAAAACCGAAGGACAGCTTTCTGAAGTATAAGGACTGTCCTTCGTCATGCAGAATGCACGATCGCCATGGCACAGATGCAGCTTGGGACACCGGATGAAAAACTGAGCAGAGAATTACCAGCTGCAGGGCTGCCATTTAATCTTTGGTCCAAGGGCCCCTAACTGCAACCCCTGCTTTGTTCTCCTTCCAGCTGGGCCGTGATTTTAAACCAGATCCAGACCAGACATCCCTTCAGATGCAGGAGGGGCGCGAAAAGTAAGCACGCAGCCCCGTTGGAAAGCCTCGGAAAGATTGTCTTGAGTTCACACTACTGAATGTGGCCAAGAGGGAAGCTGTTAAACAGATGGGACTCTACCCTATTCTCTGCATTTATTTCTTTCGTTTTAATTTGAAACGACATGTCAAGGCCAGCCAAATTCAAATTAAATTAAACCCACTTTAGGGGCATTGTAAGGGGGTCAAAAGAGTCGAGATGGTGGCTGTGGCCATGTGATGGAAGCCCTGTTCCTTGTTGATGCGCATTGGGGTGCCCCATCTGAATACTGACAGGCTCATAGCCCAAGACCAGATTGGCAGGAACTGCGATCTCAGACCCCCGGCTAGAGACAGCTGCAGTAAAAACTTTATCGCTTTTGTGGAAAGAGATACAGTGGTACCTCTACTTACGAACGCCCCTACTTACGAAATTTTCGAGATACAACCAGCTCCGGCCCCAAAAATTTACCTCGATGTGCGAACTCCGCCTCGAGGTACGGCCATTTTTCGCTTTTCTGCCCCTGACGCGGTGCGCGGGCGTTTTGCCACCCCGCCGCACAGCGCGTGGGTGCTTTTCCGCCCCTGACGTATGGTCCGCGGGCGCCAGAACGGATTAATGGTAATTACATTGAACCTTATGGGAAAATTTGCTTCGGGGTGCGACCAAATTCGGAGGGCGGAACGGATTAACCGTATTTACATTGAACCTTATGGGAAAATTT